GAATGCAACGTTCAAACACTACTAGTTGAACAATCAACGACTACACGTCGCTTATCACCTAAAAAACAGAGCTCGCTTCGAACATGTGGGCGGGACTGTCTGATGCCGCACGCATAGAGGTACCCGACAGGAGGCGCGTTGCGCGGCGAGGAGGCAGAGACACAGAGGGGTCAGCGGACGAGTCGCAGCGCGTGTTGTGCGATGTGGGACGTACTATAGCACATTCTATTTAACTTGACGCTAAATTGCTACAGTACGCGCTGCAACTCGTCCGCTGACCTATCTGCGTCTCTGCCTTCTCGCCGCGCAACGCGCCTCCTGTCGGGTACCTCTATGCGTGCGTCATCAGACAGTCCCGCCCACATGTTCGAAGCGAGCTCTGTTTTTTAGGTGATAAGCGACGTGTAGTCGTTGATTGTTCAACTAGTAGTGTTTGAACGTTCATTCATTGTAATCAATGAATTTCCTCTCACGACGGATTGATTTGTACCTTTTTTGTTGTATAGCCGACTAATGCTGATTGTGGCGATAATATAATTGCTTATTTATCCATGCGCGAATGTCTGCACACAAACGAAATTGTACGATGACGTTTATTTTATTGTTGCTGTTTGATTGTGTAGGCGTTGATTGATTGTCACATGCTCTAAATTATTCTATTTATTGACTGCTGTAGGCTTTGGGTTGTGTAGCGAACATGTGCGGTGGCTCAGGCTGAACAAGTCCGGCGGCCCAATTGTTTGCAGTTATACGTCCCTCATTAGATGGTAATTTTGAAAATCAATAAATTATTACACTATGTTTTTGTGATGGTTATGGAAAAATGACTCATCGCCCCGATATTCGCTTTGCAGCAGTTGAGTTTCTACTGAAAACTCGACGATCATTAAAAAGAAATTGATTTTTCAAGAATGGAAAAGTGATAAAACCTGGCAAAATTTGTATACAATCACGAAAGCACTTGCATCTTTCGGTCCCGATTATTGAAATAAAGTTTTAGTTGTTCAAAGCGTTGCAGTGAGGCAGTGCAATGAGTATGTTCTGTTTCCGAGAACCAGGTGCGCTTCGAGTGCAGACAACACCACAAGTGACGACTGAAAGGGATCGACGGTTCGGTTTCCTTAGTACTTGTTCGCCAGCTATTCTGAATAGCTTATACTTGTTCACACTGCCACGCGGGACTTTTTCCACTGCTCCTAACACTGTACTGATGCACAGCTTTATGACAAATCAATAATCGACCTACAATTTCCACTTGTGAGGCGAAGGAGCACTTGTGGTTTCCTCTTTCTAGGCGAACTTGTGAGCACTTGTGGCTGAAGCAGAAACTGCCAGGCTCCTTCTCCTCACCTCCTTTTATACTGTATGGCGAGCATATCTTTTAAGAATCTAACAACATAATCGGCACCCACGAGCTAGAATTTCCACAACATCTCAAAAAGTTACATGAAACGATGAGTCATAAGAAAAATGTAATGCACATCATATTTTTAAATCAATCAAAAACAACAATTTCAATCACCAAATATATCACTTGAAGTATCGTCGACTTGTCGACAACGACGGCCTCCTACTAAATCTGATAACTCGTGGTTCATTGTGATAGCTGATAATTGGTAATGATGGTTTTGATTGAAGGCAATTGATAGAATGCATTTGTAACCGGCTAATCATTTCATGGGTGGGAAACATTCACATTTTGTGGAGGTTGTCGTCACCCCATAAATTTGAACTGAGGTTGTTATTTCAAGGAAGTGTTAGGCTCTTAAATATACTCTCATTGTTCATATATGGAAACCACCGCTGATTTTATTTTGTTCGTTACTGTTGTTTTCGACTGCAGTCCACCGTATGCGAAAGCTATCACACGAATGCTGAATTATGGGCAAAATTTCTGCCAAAGACAGGATCAAGCCCTTACTTCCCGCTTTTCCATGCCTGTGGTGCTACCGACGGACATCAAGGAGGAAATATTTAACGTTTTATGGTATATTCACGTAAGCTTCATCAGCGACTAACAAGATGCGAAATAAGTTAGGTTTGGGAAAAACACGGAATTGTATCAAAGATTAGGTGGCGACTACCGTTGCTACACGTGCCTCCAGACGGAATCAATTCTGAAGAAATACCCCACCCTTCCGCTGGCTCCTCAGTAAGGAAGGAGCAAAAAATCGTGAAGAGCCATAAATTTACATACTTAGCAATAAGCTATTGGAAAAACGTAGAAGTATGATTGAACTCTGTGATGAATGTTTTTCTAAATAGGGATGTTAACGGCTATCAAATCACATGATAAATTTGTAGTAATTGCCAAATGTTGAAAAATAACAAATTCACAAAGGATCAGACAGTATATGCCATGCTCCTTAAATTAGCAAGTGTGTTCGTTTATCTTGCAACATTTACTGCTAACCATAAGACACCCGTCCACACTCACACAATAACGTGTATGTAAAAACTCAACGAATGTTTGGAGCTCAACTAGAGGCTTCCCAACAAAGCAAAAAGAAGTTACGGTTCAGCCGAATGTCAGAGAACTCAATAAAGACGGAGCCAAGGAGTAGGTGATGGAATTTTTTTCTTTATTACAACCGGCCTTTTACTCGAAATTGCTTGCCTGTATGAACTGTAAGAGAGCTTGCCCAGCGGAGTCGTAAATCAAAAAAGGTCGTCGAGCTGCGGTGAAGGAAGACCAACTATGAGGAGGATCAAAAGGGCCACCTTGCTTATGACGGGGTAGGCACTGTAAAGCCAACAATGAATAATTTGGCGGCTCCCTAGGAATTTTTAGATTCTGATATTCCAGGTTTTCTCTTAAACATTCCTAAAATGTTTTCTAACTGGAGGAAGCTACTTTTGGCCATCCTTGTAGTCAGCGAAGAGCGAAGTCATTCGTAAAGAGAACGAACTCAAGGAAACTAGCAATTTTTGCTTCGACTCAACGCAAGGGATTGGTACCAAATTCATGATTAGGAACGTCAGTAACCCTTACAAATAGACTTTGATTGAAAAACTGGTGAAAAGGTGTGACTAGGGACCCCCTTTTCTGGTATTCAGAGGGCCGTTCAGGAAAAATTAACCATGGTTCTGTGGTTCCCGCATGTGCCTCTATATCATGCAAAAGACCGTTTTGAAAAAGCTTGGCACACCCTGAAAGACCTTCCTTGTTAGGCTCAAGCTTGAGCATAGCCTCAAGGTCAAGCCTATCTCA